CTGGCTACAGTGAGGCTATCTGGTGGCTTGTTTCTGTAAGGACTAAAAGAGCAAGGGGCTTTGTTGTTGGCACTGAGAACAAACACTGTGTTCGGATTTGTTGAGAGTCTGCTCAGTGATCAGTTTAGGACTGTATGTTGTTTATTGTAAATGCCAGCTTCACTCCTGACTTATCCCCTCCTTTTCTTGTCTATGCAAGTTTGCTCTATTGTAGACACTATATTTTTGTAAGCTACCTCCAACCTATTTTGTTTTTGTTTGAAATGAGATTACACACACATAGGCAAGCATTCTACATGACAGAATAGATAACTAATAAGTAGATGATTCAAACTTAGTCCAATTGACCCATTCCCCTCCAATACTTACATATTATCAGCAAAAAAGCAGTCCGCTTGCTCTTGCACCTGTTTCATCTCATCCTTTTTCCACTGGGAACTCGGTGTTAGCATGTGCTTCCGGCCCAGGACCAGCAGTCGTAGATTTTGCTGGGCTAGTTGAGACACTACATCCAGGAGCTAGAAAACATGGAGTCAAACAAAAAAAAGTTCAAATAACCGGACAGATTGTGCTAGCTGGTGAGTCTCAAAGTTCCGAGCAGGAAGAGAACAGCTCTTAATAATTTTCTATCTTTCAGGACTGGAGAGATGGCTCAGAGGTTAAGAGCACTGGCTGCTCTTCTAGAGGTCCTGAGTTCAATTCCCAGCACCACGTGGTAGCTCACAACCATCTATAATGAGACCTGGTGGGTGACCTCTTCTGGCCTGCTGGCATACATGCAGACAGAACATAATAAATAAATAAATCTTTAAAAAAAATTTCCATCTTTCAAAGCTTGAGAAAAATTATAAATTAATGTATTCTTTGTTGCTGTTTGTGTAACAAGAACTCTCAAGTAGTACAAGCTGGCTTCCAGCTATGAAGTCAAGGATGATTTTGACCCCCACACCTCCACTTAGTGAGCTCTGGGATTATAGGCATACACCACCATGGCCAACTACTATAAATGGTACCTAAGCCCTGCCCAGTTCATGCTATACTGGTTCTAGGTGTTGATTTCTAAAGACAGACTAATTAAGTTGTTTTAAAACTGAACCCTCTAGAGCTCCCTGAGAGTGATGG